CGTGCTTGTATTGAATTGAAGGCTGATTATGGTTTCCCTTCTCGAATTAAATTATATCCAGATGATGATCCAAGTTTTGAAGTAGGGATTGAGTATAGTAATTTTCCAAAGGTATGTGCTAAGTGTGGAGTCTTTGAGCATAGTTGTGGTGTGGTTCCTGGTTCAGAGAGAGTATGGATACCAAAGAAATCAACAGTAGCTGAGGATCGCTTGATTCAGGATCAACAGACAGGAGAGGAAGTGTTTTGTGATGCATTGACGGATGAGGTGTCGATGGTAACAGAGAATGCAGTTCAGGCTATGCCAAATCAGGTTTCTGAAGAGGAAAGCAGAACAAGTGCCAACCCCTCCAGTCCTTTTCAAATCGGGAGTCCTCCACTGAGTTTTGCATAGGTGGTCAGAGGGTCACCAAGTGAGGGGGGCCCTGTGGCACCTGTTCGGGTGGCTAAATTAGACGAGTCACCATCGATCAATGGTGGGAGCTCTAAGATGAAGCTGGCTCAGGGAGAGAAAGGGGATGGCATATCTACAACTAGTAAGGCTGTGCTGACTCCTCAGGTGGACAAAGGGAAGAAGATTTGGGTGGATGAGCCCCAGGAGATTTTCCAAGTAGTTAGGAAAGGGGGTAAGGGTGGGAAAGGAAAGGTACGTAAGAAATGAAGATTCTCACCTGGAATACTAGGGGGTTTGTAGCTGATAGTAAGTATTTAGATATATGGAGAAAGATAAATAAGTATGATATTAGTATAGTTGCAATACTAGAGTCGAGAATAAGATGAAAAGATGAAAAAAGATGATAAATAAGAGGTTTGAGGATTGGCAGAATGAGATCACTTATAATTCTGTGAATCTAGGGAAGATTTGGTTATCTTGGAAGAAGGATGTTTCTCTAAGAATCTTGCACTCTACTGATCAGTTCTTTCATGTACTTGTGAATAATGTTGTGCCTTTCTTTGCTACTTTCGTGTATGCTTCGAATGAGGAGAGGGATAGAAGGAAGCTATTTGATGATTTGAGAAGGATCAGACTTTAGAGTTCAGGGGATGGCTTGGATGATTTCTGGTGACTTCAATGTAATTAGAAGCCCAACCGAAGCCTCAAATGTAATGCATTACAGCTCTAGTATGAAGGATTTTGAAAGCTGGATTTTGGAGTTGGAATTGGAAGATCACCAAGCCACAAGTCCTTGGTTTACTTGGCTAAACAAGCAGGATGCTCGCCCTATTGCGAAAAAGCTAGACAGAGTTTTAGTCAATTTTGAATGGTTGGATAAAAAACCGGGAAGCTCTGTTCATTTTCAGAAGCCAGGGATTTCAGATCACAGCCCTAGTCTGGTTGACACTGAGGTGGAAAAACAGTCACTACCAAAACCTTTTAAGTTTTTTCGGTTATGGAGTAGGCATCCAAAGTTTGATCAGTTATTGAAGGAAGCATGGGAGAGTAGGGTGTCTGGACCACCAATGATTAAGGTTTATAAGAAGTTGAGAATACTAAAGAAACTGTTGAAGGAGTTAAATAGGGAGGAATGCTCTGAGATAAGGGAAAGGGTTATGGGAAAGGAGCTTGAACTTGAAGGAATACAGGGAGAGGCTCTTTCAAACCCATCAAGTGAGAACTTTGAGAGAGAATCGGAAGTCTCTAGGGAGTTATATGAGTTGCTTCAAGTGGAGGAGTCATTCTTAAGGCATAAATCAAGGGAACTCTGGCTTAAAAAGGGTGATTCAAACACTCCCTACTTTCATAGGTCTCTCAAAACTAGGCAAAGAAGAAATACGATTACTATGCTGAAGGATGAAGAGGGAAACAAGGTCACTGATTTATACAAAATGGGGGATATTGCTGAGGGTTTTTACAAGAATTTGCTGGGCAAGAAAGATTCAGATGTGAGGGAGGAGTCTGATGAGTTCTACTCTGAGCTTATAAGGAAGAAAATCACAAGTGATGAGGGGCTCTGCACCACTGTTACTGCAGAGGAGATCAAAGATGTTGTTTTTGCCATGAATGGAGATAAAAGTCCAGGCCCGGATGGATTTTCTGCAGCTTTTTTCCAACATGCTTGGCCAGTAATTGGACCAGAGGTCTATCCAAACCTGTTTCCATGAGAGTAGGATGCATAGGGAAGTGAATGCCACTATTTTGACCTTGGTACCTAAGATCCAGAACCCTAATGAAATGAGATTCTTTAGGCCAATATCTTGCTGTAATACTATATACTAAATCATTGCAAAAATAATAGCAAATAGGCTCAGAGCTCAACTTCCTCATTTGATCAGTTTAAACCAGACTGCTTTCATAAAAGGAAGATCAATTGGGGATAACATCTTGCTTGCTCATGAGCTAGTTCATAAGTATGCCCAGAAGAATGTATCTCCTCGATGTGCTCTAAAGATTGACTTGATGAAGGCTTTCGATTATGTGGATTGGCTTTTTATTTTTAAAGTTTTGAAACATATGGGGTTCCCTGAGCAGTTTATAGACTGGATTAGGATGTGTGTTAGCACTCCTATGCTCAGTGTGGGTTTGAATGGGGGCTTGGTTGGGTATTTCTCTGCTTGCAAAGGATTTAGGCAAGGGTGTCCATTGTCCCCTTACCTATTTGTCATTGCAATGGAAATTTTCTCATCTTTGATTGATAAGGAAGCACAGAAGGGGCACTTCCCCTTCCATCCAATGTGTAAGAAGATTGGTTTGACACACCTCTGTTTTGCTGATGATCTGCTTGTATTCTCTGATGGATCAAACTATGGGTTTCAGCGTTTGAATGAGATCCTAGCTCGTTTTAGGATGCTATCTGGATTAAAAGTGAACCCAAGTAAATGTGAACTGTTTTTTGGGGGGATGCCTGGTTCTGAACAGAAATTGAGGGCTGGTAGGTATGGTTTTGCATTGGAAAAATTCCCTGTGAGGTATCTGGGGGTTCCCTTATCCTCAGGGAAGCTCACTGTATCAGCTTGTAAGCCACTAATTGATAAGATAGTTGCTCGAATTAGCAGTTGGAAGTCTCGGTTCCTTTCATATGCTGGTAGGGTAGAACTAGTTAGTCAGTTTGCATCAGTACTGGATGGCAGTCTTTCTTCTCCCAAAAGCAGTGATAAGGGAAGTGGAGAGCATTTGCAGTAACTTCTTATGGGGGGGTAGGTCAGAGTGGTAGAGTTAAAGCAAAGATTTGTTGGAAGAATCTCACTTATCCTAAGAAGGAGGGGGGTCTGGGGTTAAGAGATTTAGCTACTTGGAATGTAGCTTGTGTTACAAGGCATATCTGGCTCCTTTTACTGCAGCATGGCTCTTTATGGGTGGCATGGATCAGCTTATACAAACTAAAAGGCCAGGATTTCTGGTCATATGATGGTGGTTCTAGCTCTTGGAATTGGAAGAGAATTTTGAAAGTGAGGCATAAGGTAAGAGGACATTTTTATCAGCAAGGGCAAGAGGTCTTTTGGGACCAGGATAAAATGGACAAATACTCTATCAAGAGGGTCTGGGATACTTTGAGACCAAAGAAGCAGAAAGTAGCATGGTTTAAGCTGCTATGGCAGGGTAGTTCTATCCCTCGAAATAGATTTGTTACTTGGCTTATCATGAACAGAGCAGTTACAACTAAAGAGCAGATGGTGAAATGGGGGTTTATAGGTAGTCTGGGGTGTGTCTTCTGCAACTGTCAGTTGGAAACTTCTGACCATTTGTTTGCTGAATGTGTGTTATACAGAAAACTGAAATGTAAGTTGTTTGGAAGGAGTTCAGGGGTCTCCTCTTCTATGGACAGTGAGATTGGTTGGGTGCTGCAGATGTTTGGGTCAAACACGATAACATCTCAAGCTGGAAAGGCAATGTGGCAAAGCTTGGTGAGTGTAATGTGGCGAGAGAGGTGCAGTAGGGTGTTTTCAGGAAAGTGTAGAGATGGTGACGTATTGTGCAAGGTTATACAAGAGGAAGTGATAGGAATTTTTGGTAGACAACTATACGATTCCTTTGTATAGCATATTATATAGGTGAAAACTTGGTTTTTGTGTGTTCCTAACTAGCAAGGATGTTGCTAGTGCCATTTTTGAGGAAAAAACCCCAAAGTACACTAGTTATTAAAAAAAATTCCCAAAATACATAAGTTATAAAAAAATTTCCCAAAATACACATGTTTGAGCATCACCGTTTTTGACAAACGCAGTGAAGTTTATCACCGCGTTTGACGAAGACGGTGAATATTTCACCGTTTTAAAAAAAACGGTGACGTATTCACCGTCTTAGTCTAAAACGGTGAACAAATGGGGAGGCAATCACCGTTTTAAACAGACACGGTGAATGCATCACCGTTTTAATAAAAAACGGTGAAACTGAAACCGTTTTAATGGGCCACGATGAAGCGACGCGGATCGCTGACATGGACGAACGCGGGGTATTCACCGCGTTAAACAAACACGGTGAATACTCCGTGTTTGTTTGCGTCAGCGATCTGCGTCGCTGGCGCGTTCACCGTGGCCGTCGGATGCGGTGAGGTGCGGATCGTGGTTTTCTTCCCAGATCCGACGCCTCACGCTTGGCCACGTCGGCTCGATCCGCGTCATTCACCATTTTTTAGGCAAACAGTGACTTCACCGTTTCTGAGAGACGCGGTGAAGGGTGGCCAGAATTAATTCGGCTGATCCCTTCCCCCCACTATAAATAGAACCCTTCCCCCCACAAACAAATCACACCACAACCATTTACATTCTTTCTCCCTCAATTTATCCGCTCTAGTCTCGTTCTAAGTATGCTCTATGGTTGCGGCTAAGTCCGATCTTCCACATCAGAAAGAATTACTAGAGTTTGACCCTAAAGCCCCCGTCCCGCTAAGTTCCCGTCCCTTACAAACCTAAACTCTTCGAACCTCTGTCCAGCTTCCGCCAAAAAATGGACGAAGAGGCTCTTCGTGTAGGTTTTTGGTTTATGATTTTTTTTTAATCGAAACAATTTGATTTTGTGTTTTTTTTATCAAAACAATCTCTGATTTCATTACTTTTTTATAGATGGGTGCCAAGATATACGATCCTCGATTGTATATCCATTATGGCCCAAAGGATGCGAGTCTCTTAACCGATCAAGAAGCTCATCGCTCCCGTGCTATTTGGGATAACAATCCGGTAATTTGATGAGTATTCTTGCTTTATTTTATTATTTTCTAAGGTTTTATTTTGCTTTATTTAATCTAATAAATTGATGTTTTTCCTATTTTTTTAGGAATCTCTGGTTCCCGTGGTTCATAAATGGACCAATAACTTGCCTGCTTGGCATTCAAGGTTGGAGCCCTATATAGAGAGGACCGGTTTGGGAATGTTGCGCCATTTCATGCGGATCGAAATCGACAACGATCTGCTTACGACAATGGCCGAACGATGGTGTCCCGAAACCCATACGTTCCACCTTGCGGAGGGGGAAATGACGATCACCCTCAAAGACGTGGCGATCCTCACCGGGCTGCCTATTTCTGGAGATGCCATCATTGGTTCCACGACCAAACCCGAAGGAGGTTGGGGGCCGCTCATACGTGATCGTTTGGGCTTTGACATGCCGACCACCACACCAATTCAAGGACGGGGGCATCCACCGTTGAATGCGGGCCAAGTGTCGGTCCCGTGGCTGGTATCTCACATCCAGCAAGAGGTGGAAATCAATGACGAGACACCGGAAGAACAAGTCGGGCGCTACGCCCGCATCTACCTCATCGGTTTGGTGGGTGGATTTTTGTTCCCCGACAAATCCAACCGGTGGATTCAAGGCATATGGTTGGATATGCTCACTGGTGACTGGGATGCAATAGGTGCAAACGGTGGGATAATCAACTTTCCAGCATATATAGGCCAATACGCTTCATCTGGCATGGGGCTCAAAGCTGCATTATATGAGTTCCGTATCGCTTGTTCAGTGTAGTAAGGACTCACAAGGCTGTTTCTGTTCATGGTTATTGACTTAGCAACTGCCATTGCATGTGAACAGGGTATCCTTTCGTTCTGATACTTTTGACAAGAACACTCCCCTAATTCGTAGTGCAATTTAACCATTTGACGATTGTAGCCACGTCTCCCTCCACCCCATATACCTGTTTCAACAGCGAATATTCCTTCACTGCGGTTAAAAAGAACAACCTTATGCTTACTTGATTTTTCATCGTTCTTCTCATCTTCTGCATTTGAACGAATATGTCATGTGCTATCGAATGACCTTGCAACTCCCTCCCTATAGCTTGCTGTAGCCGAGCAACTCGCCACTCGTTGACCTTCCAGTAAGACATCTCCACTATGACAGAAATAGGCATTGCTCGAAGACCCTTTTACACATTATTTATACTTTCTCCATGGTTGGTAGTTGCAATGCCCCATCTGGCCCGTTGTCCATATGGATTGTCCACATGGGCAACTCTTGACCTACAGCCCATACTGCTCCAGCTCGGTGGGTCTGACGGATCATTTTCATCTTCTGCTCGTACTTTTTTGGTTGATGTGCAACTGCTGAAAGGTGAAAAAAATCGTAACTGGTCAATACATGATGAATAACAGCAGCTTAATAAACACATACTTAAATCGCATAAGAAAACATTAGTACCTGCATTCCACAGTTGATTTTTTATGTCTTTCTTCTTCCCAAATTTGTGCTGGAAATTGGCGAGCCAGTGTCGAATACACCATCGCCATCTCCATCCCCACTCGTCGGGAAAACCACCCACAGCATTCCCAATCCCCGCATGTCGATCGGATATAATCGTAATACCTTCCCGCTGTTTCCATCAACGCCAGTGGCAATTAGAAGACATCCTCTGTACTTCCCAGTAAGGAAAGTTCCGTAAACCTTAATAAAAATTTAGGATCTAATTAGTATGAAATATACGTAACAGAAAATAATACAACATTTAAAACCGGAACCAGTTGGTAAAATACCTGAATAACCGGTATGCAGAACCCAAAACCGTCAATGCATGGTTTAAAAGCCCAAAAAAGATGATGGAACATCAGCTTCTCCTGTACTCGAACTTGATCCTCAGTGTATACATTGTTGTATACTGGGACGAAAACAGTCCCAAGATTGGACTCCTCCATTGCTCCCATAAGTCTAGGGAGTAAAGCATACGAATCCTCCCAATCACCATACACCTCAGTCATGGCTTTCTGCTTTCCATGCCATGCTTTTTTGTACCTTATTGTGTAAGAATGTCGATCCTTCACCTCTGCCATGATTAGGGATGGCAACAAAACCCGAATCCACGGGTACCCACCCGACCCAACCCGGTCAACGCGGGTAAAATCCGTGTTGACGGGTTTTGGGCCGGGTTTGGGTTTAAACCCGTTCACTATTCAACGGGTTGGGTTGGGTTTGGGTTTAGGTAAACCCGGCCCGTGGGTACCCGCCCACCCATATAATTAATTTTTCGGTATATTTAATATTCTAAACAACTAATCTTATTTATGTTTGTGGAGACATGTCTAATTTTTTCTTTTTAATTGTGTAGAATGAAGTTGATGTTATGGAGTGGAGAGTAAAGAAACTTAAGTGAAAGAAGAAGCTTTTAGTTAAACATGTTATTTATGGAAAATTTGTGATTTGCTTCAAATTTTTTGAGTTTTCTAGATTGGTGTTGGACAATTTGTATAGTTAATTTGTGATTTGCTTGAATTTTCTAGAATGGTGTTTTATATATGGATAATTTGTATTGAGAGATTGATATTTGACTTTAATTTTGATAAGAACTTGTAATTGTAAATTTTTTACTACAAAACCCGTGGGTACCCATGAACCCGCGGGTACCCAACGGGTTGGGTTGGATTTGAGTTTTTCAAACCCAGTGGGTTTTACCCCGGGTTTTTTTCAAAGATAAACCCATGGGTTTGGGTTTGGGTTTGGCAAAACCCGACCCAACCCGACCCATTGCCATCCCTACCATGATAGCTTTCACCTTGATATCTTGTTGTACTTCTATAAGGTGCTTAATAGTTCTCCCTACTTTCTTTGCTTTTAGTTGCCTGTGATCTTGGGAAAGTATAGACGAGGAGCATGTGTGGTTCGTCTCAGCTTTGCGAATCACCCAAGCACCCTTTCTCTTCATGTTTGCAGCCCGCAGTTGCCACGTACAACCCTCTGCATCATGCTTGCATATGACATGTAGTTGTTTACTGTCATAATATTTTACCTTCCACTCGAAATTGCGCCTCAACGCCTCTTCTGTAAAAGCATCTTGCACAGCGTCTTTCGATGTGAACGCCATACCCACCTCCAAATTGACCGTTGGATTATACACTGGCATAGGGACAAAGTCGGGGGGATCATTCTGACTATGTAAAAATTGAGTTGGAACCTGTGTGTAATATGGCGTGGGTGCCTCAGGAAATGCCGCCTCATCCTCGTTATCATCAGTATCTTCCTCCTCCTCGCTCACTGATCTCAAATCTTCCTCAGTATCCTCGTCGCTCGACTCGAATGGATAGCTCGGGCCAGAAGGATCAACATGACCACGATCACCAACATCGTCTTCTCGCTCATGTGAAGTACGCCCTGATCGAATGGTATTCTCGATTTCAGACCACTTTGGCCCCCAAGCAGGCCATTGAACACCATCGGCCTCAACAAATGGGGCTGGTTGATCAGGTTGCGAGTATTCTTCCGATGGCACCCATCCTGCACTACTACCTCCACCGTAGTTGCTTGAACTACCACCCTCTCCGTAACCTCCTGTATAACCACCGCCTTCGTAGTTGCTCGAACTACCACCCCATCCGTACCCTCCTGCAAAACCATCATCATAAGAATACTGGTGAGAATGAGATTCACCGGCCGCCTCGGTCTCAACATACACCTCTGCAAGCCGGACTTGGTTATCGCTTAGGACTGTAACATCATCGTAACTGCGTCATCATCGTTTATGACAACTTCTTGGTACACGACCCCGCCAACACTCATGTCTGGATACCGGTAAGTAATTTTGCCAAGTCTCGTCTGTCCGCTCGTACAAACCCTGTCTACACAAATATCACAGAGTTCTTGAAAATTGAATCGGGACTCAATTTTCAGCATAGTGGATTCGCCGTCCTCATAATCAATGCCTATGTCAGAGTTTGTCACCCTTCCATTCCACCGAATAATAAGATGAAACTTCTTGAATTTACCCATATCTACAATTTACAAAAAGTATCTATTAGCTTAAAGACAGTAAAATTAACCAAAATCATATTGTACAACTAATATCATCCATCTCATAACTAACGAACATAAATTCAACTAACTAACAACAACATAATACGAAAATTAAATCATACTATAACTACTAAAAACATAATTAGACTATAATACGAAAAGTCTCAACATACCAAAAAATTCTTGTTCTGTGTATTATGCTCGGTTTTGGTTGCTGAAATTTGAAGAAAGGGGAGTGGTTATGTTTTTACAACTGCTGGTGGTGTGGTATTTATAACCAAATCTGCCAACTATTCACCGTTTTATCCAAAATGGTGAACACCATCACCGCGTTTGTCTCAAACGGTGAATAATAGGTAGCTGTGACCTAATTTTGACCTACCAGGGGTGGGAAACGTGGGAAAATATCACCGCGTTACCCTACAACGGTGAATGTATTCACCGTTTTTAACTAAAACGGTGATGTATTCACCGTTCTAATCAAACGCGGTGAATACATCACCGTTTTAGATGAACGCGGTGAATACGTCACCGTTTTTCTTTTAAACGGTTAAATATTCACCGTCTTTGTCAAACGCGGTGATCTCCTTCACTGCGTTTGTCAAAAACGGTGAATGCCAAACATGTGTACTTTGGGAAATTTTTTTATAACTTTGTATTTTGGGAATTTTTTTTATGAACGTGTGTACAGTGGGATTTTCCCCCATTTTTGATGAAATGGAAGATACCCGATTCATAAAAAAAAATATAGTAATCCTCCTTCTCTTTTTCTAAAAATTGAGGTAATAGAGTGAAAATCATATAAATGACAATGAAAAATTACAAATCGCATGAGTAAATTCATAGTTTGAAAGATAATCAAAGATGGAAAGTTCACATCTCCAACAATTATTGCAAATGATTTGGATGAGATAAATTTATTTTGCATGATAATGACGTTTCATATTTGCATTAGTTTTGCCTTCAAATTTGTTAGTAATGAAATGAGGAGAATGACAAAGACTCTATTGATGGTGGAGGCAGTGGAGTCACTGATACATATATAGCGATGTTGTTAGGAAGAAGGAAAAGACATTTAAGATTGGTGATAGTAGAATCGATGATGAATTTTATGTTGTTAAGGATTGAAACAATTACTATTTCCATAGCCTGCTTCTTCGGCCTCAAATTCTCCTGTGTACTTCCGTTCTAATCAAATACCCCACCAATGATATTCCATTCTTATGCGATTGATCAGGATGGGGACGAGTGAGGCGTTCTTCCTCTATTCTGTCGATGCTCGGGAAAGGAAACGACGCGGCTTAACAGTCGGCGACTCGGAGAATGCGGCCTGAAAAGTCAATACCTCAGTAAGCCCTCAACATCTTCGTAATGATTCTCCAGTCCCTGTTCTTACGAGTTTGCTCACCCTTTGCCCTGCAAATCTGCTTTCTGATTGACATTCGTTGGTTCATTCTTTACTTCCTCTCTTCTGTCGTTAGTCGGGAAAGGCAACGACGCGGACAAATTGTGGCCGACTGCAGCCTGCGAAGCCAAGAGTCTCTTGGGTTAGCCTTCAACATCATCATAATGATTCTTGAAGCCCCATTCTTACGAGTTTGTTCAGCCTATGTCCTGCAAATTTGCTTCCTAATTGACATTCGTTGGATCATTCTCGGCCTCCTTTGTGAACAAGTTGCAAACTTTATTATCAATCACAGTAAGATAAAGTGATTCACGACGCTTCTGTTTGAAATTTTAGGTAGGGT